TTCTATGTACGTGTAATAAATATGTTCCCCATGTTTCATATACACAAGGAAACATCATATGAATCAATGGTTTATGTATACGAAATCACTTTTTAATAATTTACATTCATATCGAAGGTAAAAAAGAAGCTTGAATATATAAGGGAGATCATTAAACTTCATGCAAAAATGTTGTTTATAGTAAAGTATTCAATCATTTATTTAGATAGATATCCATGGACAGTTTTGTATTTGACACTAGATTAACAACCCAGCGTAATTAAAAAAACGATTGAACAACTGTTATATAGATATTTAAATGTGTAGGATTTTTAAAGGAAAATACTCGCTGTCTCGTTTAACAAAAGCGACAAAAAATGAAATGTGTAAAAATCATCTGGGACAATGTTTTCATCTGGATGTTCAACAGTTTATAAATAGAAACCAACAATGATATAAGTATGCAAATCATTGGATCCAGTTTCAGTGCTATAAACGTTAATCATTTGCACATAAAACAAAATGTCCTGAATTCGATTCACAATCGTGGAGTAGTCAATGTGCACTCGTGAGATTGTTCATGATAATAAGAAATGGTTGTCCAGTTTTCCTAGGTTCTTAATAATGGTCTAGCTAAAACTGATTAAGTATTGAACAGTTTTTAAACTTCTTATTTTATCTTGGAAACATGAAGCTCAACAGTTTAATATTATTATTAAAGAAATATGCTAACAAAGAATTTTTACTTTAGAATTTTTCAGTACTAATTTATCAATGATAATTACACTGAGACGAAGCAACTGAAATTTCGAAAAATCTTATTCATATTAATGATCATAACGCCAGACAATAGTAACAATGTTATTTAGAACTAGTTTGTATGAAAACGACCTCTAACTGATTGTGTTTTTTTTTGCGGTTCAATTTAGTGATTCAGTGATTCAATTACATAATTGGTCAAATATTCTTTATTATACAGGACATCAAACTTCAGATGAGATGTTTTATACTCCCCTAATTATTGATTTTTTTACTCCATATAAGTTTGGTAAAAAAATAAAACGTTTTTCATTTTGAAGATGTAGTTTAGTTCTATGAAAATATAGATTCATATTACAAATACATTTTTGTATTTAATTGTAAAGTGTAGAGAAAAAAGCAAATGGTAATTGTCAGAAATATTTTGCTATCAAGATGCTATTCCTACTTTACCATTCATTTAAACTGCACAATTGAGTTGGCATTCATGAAAATATGATTGTATGCTTATTCTGACAAAATAGTCGCTTGTGAAATACAACTGATGAAAAATACGTAACTATAAAACAAGCTTTCTAAAAAGAAATTTTAATTTCATAAAAATTATTTTATGGCCTGTGTAGTTATTCATAAGGATTTTGTAGTGAACGAGAATACAAATGGGGATAATCTAATGTATTTGAACATAAAATAACAGAATCTCACAGTAAAATCTGCAAAATATCAATCAATCGTCTCAGACTTTATTCTTCCTTCATTTCTACAACAATCATTCTGTATTCTCCTTCTCTTTTCTTCGATCTTATTAACCTACTGCCTCCAAGCATTTTATATTACTTATATATATCAACATCAGCAGCACACACCAAGATATCAGCGACTGAAGTAGAATGTCTAAAATGACTGTGTTTACTGTATCAATACTGTCATTTTCAGTAAGCAGTCAAAATATATTAGACATCAATGATGTATTCAGATGATTTTAAATAAAATCATATAATTATCTCATAGGATATCTGATGCATTTGTGCATTATTATTATCGTTTGCTTATTTTTAAGTTTTTCAAGTATATTCGACGTATTATGTTTACAGTTGTCCTTGTTTCGAAAATAATAAATTTATGCTAGAAATAATTGTTAGTTAGCTAATATTTACTTATTTATTTATTATTAGCATTATTCAATATTATATTTTTAGTACAGTATAGAATTCTCAGCACAAAGTACTTCAGCGAGTTTCTGTTTCTTATTTTTTTGATCGACCATGACGATAAATATTTAGTGAGGAGTCTCATACTAGGATGAAACGGTCGTCCCGTGCTTACAAGTTTTCTATGGTGGTCTACCTTTAATTATCTCATGAATTTAACTATTGAAATCTAAACAGTGTTGAATTAATGGCATTATTACTTTACAATTGATTTATTTAATTGAAATATTATCACTTACAAAATAACTATAAATGTACAATAATTGTTAGTAATAAAATAGATTTCTGATTCAATCCCTCATGTATATATAAAGTGTATTATAAACTGTTTCCGAAATACAACTGAATTATTGGAATTCGATTTTATGACTAATTCTTAAGGGTCAATTGAAGCTAGACCACCATAGAAAAGCTGTAAGCGCTGGACAGCCGTTTTGTCTTATTGTGGGACTCCTCGGCAGTGCACATCTACGATCACGCCTCACGAGGTTCGAACCCAGGACCTATCAGTGTCGCACGTGAGCGCCAAACTTCATGACCTCAACCATTGAAATAACTATAATATCCACAAAAACCCTACTGAAATTAATTCTTAGTTTACTCGAATATAATTTTTTTTCTTAGATTTTTTTGAATTTTAGATAATAAATATTTTAACTTAGTCCTATTAAGATAGTAATCATATTCTTCGAATGTCATATGTAACTATAAGAGGGAATAATAGATCTGTTTGAGCTTAAAATGTATTTTTCATCTTATATTATTAATTGCTACAATTTTATTGAATACCATAAAATATTACGTAACAATATTATTGCAATATGGTACTCTTCAGTAGTATACAGGTATCAAATAACTCAAGGTTATAGTAACAGTTGTCATGTTTTATATTGATTCTGATACTTTCGAACTCTTAAGTCAAGGAACCTTGTTTTAATCAGGTTATTACTTAGTAAAATAGATCTTTTGTGAAAAGCTGGATAACTTTCTTTACCTTGACATTTTTCGATCGATATGTGAAAGAAATCTCCTGATATTTCGTTGATACAAAAGCGAATTATTAATCATTTAAAAAAAGTTCAGTAGTATGTATTATTTATGAGTAATGTCCAACAAAATACACTGCATTTATGAGTTCATTTTATTTTTTATTTATTGTTTAGTGATGTTTGAAATTTTACATTTTTCCTTCCTTCAACAAACTGACAGTTCTTTTCTTCCTTGTGACAAAGTTGTTTCAAATAAATCTTATTCACAATACCCTTTAAGTTAATTAATCTTATATGATCACATTAGATTATGATGTTTTATTTGTTATGTTTAATAAGAATTAAAAGTAATATAATCATAAACAAAGTTGGATAATGGGTAGCAGTGAAATCCAGGACGGGCGTTTCGTCGTATAAGTAAATTAAGGCAATATTGAGGCAACACACACAATATGTACAATATGTCAATAAGAGACTAATCATTTGCAGTTCTAAACATCAATGAGAAGATTCAAGTAAAACATTACCAAGTGAATTCAGAAGTAATACAGTTTATTAAAATGAAAACAAATGATTATTTTATTTTGTGAACTCATTAACATTTCAGAATAACTTTCATATAGATACTAATTTTACTACATTGAGAGGAAATATTTCTAAGATTTTAATTACAGTTGGATAGTAGTAGCATTGGAGTCAAGGACTCGTATTTCGTTCTACGTGGATTCCAATATTAATGTAAACACATCTACTCGAACCCAGTATCTTTCATTTCAAACACTCTGTTGTACCTAATATAGAGGAAATTTACACAAAATACATGTATACCAAAAAAGAGACTGATTAATCATTACCGTTAGCAACATTATCTAGAGTAGAATAACACTTCAAAATTAAATTAGAAATATTTCTTCTTCTAGTTTTTGATAAAGAAAAATATCTTGGTTCATACACTTTATTAAGTAAACCACTCAAATAAATAAGGGAGAAAAATAAATATTTCTACAACAATTCAGGATTTCCTTATCAACACTCCTCTTAATTCTTATAAAAAATCTGATCTCAATTACATTATTTAAACTGGGAAGTAAAATATTCATAATATAATATTTTCAGTTTTGTTGTCGTTTACACTTATAATTGACAATAAGATAAGAAGGTATGGTTGTAGATAAAATACTTTTCAAAAGTGCTGAGTTAGAAGTATAACACTGAATGCATAACATTCAAAAGCGTCACAAGCTCTAAGTGATTTTGTAACTTTTTATCAATGTATATACTACATGTTATTTTTATGATAAACCAGAAGGTAATTTTCACATGGTATTGTTTGCCTTATATCTTCCCACTGAGTTTTAAGACTGCAATTGATCAGTCTGTTATCGGAATATGTGCATAATGTGCGCATCGTCTCGATATTGCCTTAATTCACAAGCTTTTTGTAAGCAATGATGGATAGTGGCTGGCAGTTGAATCCACAACGCGCGTTTCGTCCTATTTGGGACTCGTCAGCTGAATGCATCTGCATTTCAGAGCTTATGTTCACTTTGGGACTCGAATCCGGTACCATCCGCTTCAAACGTCATCGCGTTATCCACTCAGCTACTGAGTCCTGATAACCACTTGCTTGTGCAATGGAGTGAAGTCAAATTCACTTGGTATTGTTTGGCTTGTATCTTCCCATTGAGGTTAACGACTACAATTGATCAGTGGATAACGCGATGGCGTTTGAAGCGAATGTTACTAGGTTCGAGTTTCAGAGTGAACATCAACTCTCCGAGATGCAGGTACATCCAGCTGATGAGTCCCAAATAGGACGAAACGCGCGTCGTGGATTCCACTGCTAGCCACTATCTATCATTGCCTACGAAAAAAATTAGGAAGTAGTTCAAAGTTTTATATATATATCTCTGATGTCTACAATGTCCGCTGCACATCATTGGATCAAAACTAAAGAGTTCTCTAGTACTAACAGATTTTAATGATTATGTAACATAAATCTATTCGTGATTTCAACTTTTGTTTGAAGAAAATCAATAAGGTTACTACTAAAAAAACTTACCTATCCGATGAAATTGCAATAAATGTAAATACACTAATAGCTATATTAAATGATGTAAAAAATTGTGAAAATTTACAATAAGCAATACCAAATATCCAATCATTTTGTAATACATAATAAACATTTGGTATAATTTGAAATATTGTTAATAAATCAGCTGCTGATAAATTAAATAAAAAACAATTAGTTATTGTACGCATTCTACGATTATTTAATATAATCCACATAACTAATATATTACCAAATATTGAAAATATAACAATTAATGAAAACATAAATGTGATTATTATGCATGATGTTATATTAAATACATTATCTATATTATTTGTATCTATAGGATGATTATTTGATTGTTTAATTATAGATGATGATTGAATAAATTCAGTTGAATTATAATTATCTAATGTCATATTCATTATTTAAAAAATAATTAACATGGAAACAATGAAATTTTCTTAATGTTTAAAATAAATTTTATTTTTTAAAAAATAATTTTTTTTTACTTTTTAAAAAAAATAATAATTTATTAAATAAGAAAAGGAATTATTTGATTGGTTGATTAGAATTCGATTTGTTCTGATTGGTTAGTTTAAATTATTTGCATAATACATTCATTTGATATTGTTTCATTTGAATCTTCTCATTGAACAGTCACTTATTAACATATACGTATACTGTGCGAATTAGTTCAACATTGTTTTCAATGACAAGTATGATAAGTAAAGATGGATGGTGGTTAATAGTGGAATGTATGATGCGCATTTTATCTCATTTACGACTCGTCAGCTGGATGTACTTATATTACAGATTCGATATGGATAGTGTCATGGCGTTTAAAACGAACGGTACTGGATTTGAGTTCAGGACTGAATATCAATTCTGTGATGCAGGTACATTCAGTTGACGAGACGAAACGTATATCCTGAATTTCATTGCTAACCATTATCCATTTTTATTTGCATGATATATTTTAAATGTGTGTTATTAGTGATTATTTGTGTGTGGATCAATCTTAGACTAAATGCTGATGTAATAAGTATCTATGGCATTTTAATTTTGCATTAAAATAAATTCATCACTTATAGTACAGTTTTTTTATTTGATTTAGATAGGCATGTATTAACAGGATTCTTATAAATGATCATAAAATTATCTAATCATATTTTAAAAAAGATTACTCTTTCGTTGTTTAATTATTATTGTTGAATTTTTAATTGTATTCTTAATTTTACAAATAGTACTTTGGTATGTTGACAGATATAAGTACTGTGTAACACCAATCGAAAGTGGAATGCTTGACGACCAAAGGTTGGGAAAATCTAAGAGAATAGAACAAGAACAAAGAATGAATGCTGTGGAAGTGAAGTAACAATAAAGTCTAAGACAATTGATGAATATTTTGCAAATGAAGTACAGATTGTATGATTCATAGATTTCACCAAGTTATTCTGTAATGGTGTGTTTGAAATATATTTGGTTGTCCCTATTTTTGTTCTCATTCACAACAGCATCTTCATTATATTCCAATTAATAATTTAAAAACATTTTTTTGATTATTAAAGTTCCAAGGCGCTGGTCAACAACAATGTTTAATAACACGTAGTAATATTAAAATAGAACCTTGTAGCTACTAAGAAATTGATAGGATTTCATTTAACTCTTTTGTGATATGAATCTATTTCTGTACTTAGATTTTCTTAAGTATCCGAAAAATTATTCAAAGTAACTTTCACCTAAATTCTTTCATGTAAGTTATTTGAACCCATTTCGTAATTACTATTTTCGAACCTTACAGTTTGTATGTAGCTGATGAGAATCAAGCTAAATAAAACGAATTCAAGTTATCCTACCCAAATCTTTGCTCTCTTCATACGATAAAGAGAACTATATATATATATATATATATATATATATATATATATATATATATATATATATATATATATATATATATATATATATATATATATATATAATGTTCATTGCAGTCACTTACTCGTACTCGTATTTGCTGACTCGCTCGCTCACTTGCCTGCTAGCTTTTCGGTACTACTCTTTCATGCTTGCTTAACGTACCTGTAAATTGGATATCTGTGTGTGGTCCCATAATAAACGTAATCAACACTTTGTATTTGCCTTCTGATTAATACACCGTTGGGGTGTTATCTAGTGACGGTTATCAGGTCAAACTCTATAGAACTTTTAAGGGTTATATTGAATACCGACCACAACATTGTTCTTCAGTCAGAGTTATCATCCATTTTCTAAACAAAACAGAATTGCTTTTGTAAATAACTTTTACAGAATTTATCAGCAAACGTAATTACCTTAGAGTTTGAGTTCATTCAATCAATATTTTTAATGAAAAATATTGCAGTGAATATATAGACCAATAAAAATATAATTAGAAATTTGTATTCACTCAAGTCACTATCCTCTTTGTTATACAACCTCGGTAATTTCACTTGAAATGTATATTAATACACAAATATGATGTGTTGATGGTTATTTAAGTCATATATACATTTAAAGACTTTATAAGGAATCAGTGCAGCTTATCATACTAAAATAACCTTACTGAATCAAACGATTGTTTATTTATTTAGTAAAATAACGTTGATCACTGTTACTGTTCAGGATGAGCACTAACCGAAAGATTTATATCCCTAATAGACTTGTAAATGCCGTTACATTTATTTATAAATAATGTCTGCCGAAATAATGGTACATTCCGAGAAACTAGAATTGAATTCATCCAAAAATTGCTTTGTATTATATCATGTTTGTAATCATTAATTTAAGCGGAAATAAATAGTCTTTTCATTTGTTTTAAAATAAGTCAATTCAACTGGTACTAAAATTTCATTAATTGAAATAAACTGGAGCGAATTACGAAGTTTTCAATCTTTTCATTTAGTAGGAAACATGAAATGAGAATAATTCCTCTATTCGGGAATATTTATGTCTGATGAAACTTTACCGATTGTTAACCTGAATGATCAAGTACTTAGATTAATTAGTTGATAAAGAGCACTGGAGCAACAGTCAGACATCAATGGTATTACTATAATAAAATGGAATCACTTTGAAAGCCAAACATTAAAACTGAATCCTAGCATTATAATTTGCTAAATTCAGTGATCGGTTGATCTATTCACATTGGATATGAAAGTATACCAATATGAATCATTATTCACGTTTATTCTTAAGAATTTTAATTCAACTGTTTGCTGCCTAATGGTGTAAAAATATCATTCAAAATTTACTTGCAGGGTAATACATACACAAACTATTGTAATTCCAAAATTTCCATACTTGATTAGTTTGACTTCATGGCGAAATTTAATTTATTAATCTGTGAAATTATAAAATCAACAAACTAATAGCTAATATTTCACATTCACAATAGTGAATAATTACTTCCTTACTTACTATGGTGTTTGAATGAACCAATGATTCTTTTGTACTTGTTGAATGCTTGATTTCAAATTCTATATACAGTACATTCGTTCGTACTTATCTAGTACTTCTTGTTCCGATTACGTTATTTCTGGGATTCTTAGTTCGTACTATAATTCAAAGACTCCTAGCCATCATACTTACTCCTGTTACGCCCAACAGAGCATAGGCCGCCGACCGGTATTATCCAACCCACTCTGTCCTGGGTTTTCCTTTCTAGTTCTATCCAATTGTTGTTCATTCTTCTCACATCAGTCTCCGTTTCTCGGTGTAAAGTATTCTTTAGTTTTCTTCTTTTCCTTTGGTCTTGAGGATTCTATGTGAGGGCTAGCTTTGTGACGCAGTTGGGTGCTTTCCTCAATGGTTGTTCTATCCATTTCCAGCGCTTCTTCCTCCATTGAAATGTGGCTTGTTCTCTTCCATAAAAGGTTGTTGCTGATAGTGTTTGGCCAACGGATCTGAAGTATTTTGCGTAGACAACTGTTAATAAACACTTGTATCTTCTGGATGATGGCTTTCGTAGTTCTTCAAGTTTCCACCCCATACAGAACTGTCTTGACTTTTTTATTGAAGATTCAGAGTTTGGTGTTGGTTGAAAGTTGTTTATATTTCCAGATATCCTTCAATTGTAGATATGCTGCTCATGATTTGTCGGTCCGCGCCTTCATATCTGAATCAGACTCACCGTCATCGTCAATGATGCTGCCTAGATATGTAAAGGCTTTTACATCGTCCAGAGCTTCTCCGTCCAGTGTGATTTGATTGGTTTCATGTGAATAATTTATAAAGATATTTTCATAAAGAAGGCCTCTTTTTACTTTACCAGTATAATATTTTGTTTTATTAGAAATTATTTCTTAATCATGTGATTATCTAAATGATTGACATGGTACGCTTTTAAACTAAATAGATTTTATCTAAATTCATCACTATTCTCCTCAATAGTATGGATTATTTGGTCATTATAGGTTATTTTTCTTTCTAAATAAAAAGCATAGCAAATCATAACTGTTGAATACATCCTTGTGGAATGAATTAGAAAATTAGAAAAAAAACAAGAAATACAGTGTTTATAATTGATCGATCACTGGATGGTAATCAATGTTATATATGTCAGGTCCTTCTTAGTGCAGATCGAATACTATCGACCAAGTTGCAATTATAAATACATCTCAGTCCTACAGAAGGTCAGCCGCAGATCGGATAGCTCAGTTGTAATGTCTCTGACGGGGAAGCTAGAAAGCATCAGTTCCCTCAAGATTACAGGTACAGCTTGCTGACGAATGCCAAGGAGCATGAAACCTAAGTCCAGGGTTTCCTGTTGATTGCATTCCACCACCATCTTAAATACAGTGTTATTTATCGAAATATTTCCCTTAAATTAAATCACATTATAATACAACTGTTATAATGTCATATAAATAAATTTATGTGAACTTACAAAATCAGTAAATCATCTCAATTAGTTTTCAATTCAATGAACAGTGTGAAAAGTTTTGTGTATTGCTCATAAACATAATTTATTTCCTTTATTTTCCATTGAGCAGCCGTGCTGAGAAGTTTCAAATTCATATTCATATTACTATGGTTATTAAACTAAGATTACAACAGCATACGTTTTTATTCTTTCATAAGAATTATTTGTTTTTAACCTGAAATAACAATATTGTTTACATTTTTTAGGATACTCTAAACGATTTGCTTGAACAGAATTACTGCTCATGATTTATGATTTTAAATAACCTGAGTGAGATGTGATAAAAACAACGTTCCTTACGATTTAGTTGTATTTTGATGCAAATAACTTGGATTTACACGCTATTTGTCACCTTCCGAAATGACTCTGTAATAATGTCAATGAGTGCAGCTCAATGTGACGCTGCTCCAAACGACATGTGACGTATTATTCTGGTCAAAACTGAACATAAATGATCAGGACAACTCCCAGCTGTCATGA